TGACTGTGGAGTACGACCGACTGCTGGACGAACACAGCAAACTGCTGGTAACAAACACACACACACGCACACACGCACACACACACACACACACACATCCACACTCACACACACACACACACACAAACGTACGTGTGTGTTAAAACTTGATTTATATGTAACCAGAATCCCTGTAGAAAGCTGGTTGTAAGTTTCTTATTTATTGTTGAGCATTAAGCGTCGCCCCAACAACTCGATCAGGTTGGACTATGTTTTTATTATATTCAACTTTAAAGGTATTACATCTTGATATGCAAAACAATGACAGAGATACTGTAGTCATTGGATCTCAGACTGTCTGTTGATATTGTGTTGTGTGTGTTTTTGTGAGCCTGACAGGCAGGTTAGAGGTGGACCAGCTGCTGCTTCTTATACAAACACACACACACCGAAAATAAAGTTATGTAACATACCTCGAAGTTAGTTGCACCGAGAGATGATGTCATAGCTGTTTTAAAATCCCCCAACACACACACACACACACACACAAAACTTGATTTATAGGTTACCAGACTCCACACACACACACACACACACAAACTAACAGGTGCACGCTCAGGCTGACTGAAGCACAACAAATGTTGCAGCCAAGAGAAAACCCCCAAACCTTTTTTAACTTCGGTGTTACACGGAGTGTTTTATAAAAGTTGACTGATAACATAATTATTTTTATAGCAGTGGGGGGAAACTAGTCAAACGGCACGTAACATTTATATAGTTTCTGAATTTTGAACATATAAGAGTTTAAATCGGTTAAAATTATCCCAATATTTACCTTTCTTTAAAATCGTCAAACATCGGCCAAACTGACTGTGTTTTTTCCGCCCTGTTCTCTGTCTGCAGGCAACAAGCGACAAGAAGTCAGACTGAGAAGGATTTCCAGCTTCTTCCCTCGTCTTCAAAGAACAGCCTGCTGCTTCTGCCTCAGTGATGTCACTTCCTTATTTGGACGACGGCTCGCTGTGATTGGTTTATTTCATCTTGGTTAAAAAACATATATATCTCATCTGACTGTCAAAAAAAAAAAAGTGGGCTGTCTGTGAAACTTTCAGACGAGGTTTTCTGTTTGTTTGTTTGTTTGTTTGTTTGTTTGTTTGAGGAACATCTGATCATTCCCTGTTTCCTGCCGCTCGAGAGAAACTAAAAAAACAACCTGAATTTCATAATGTTCTGCTTTTTCTTTTGTTGCAAGAAACCGAATATTCCCAAAAATTTGAGGTCCAAAGAATTCAATACACCCGCTCTCCTGTATTGATAACGAAAATATTGCACATTTAAGGATTCAAATTGAACGTGGCCAAACACAATCCTTCAGAAATGACCTTTAACTTTAATGTTTTATTTGTTAAGTGGATTTCGGGTTGTGGATTTACCCCGAAAACAATGAAAACTGTTGAATGTACTGTTGAAACTTGGATCTACAGTCTGTGACTCACGAGCCAAACAAAAACACCCGAGTCTCTTCTTTAAAATAATGCCCAAATCCTTATTATGATGATTTCTACACTGGTTATCTTTAATATCCTGAAGTTTCTACTCTCACCTAGAGACATATTTCCAACGCAAACGGTCAAATAAAGGATAAACAAATGACCAGATGTTTGTTTTGCTCGTACAAAGTGATGCGTATTTTTTCTTTGTGGTAATAAACTCGGTTGGTTTGAAGATTTGTTTATAGGTTTGTCATTAAGTTAATCGGTTTGCAGTTATTTCTTTGTGTTTTTTAGGTATTTTTCTTGTTTTATGGCTTTCAGACTAAGATTTTCTCTCTGGTGAAAGATAACACAAGGATTTGGACCCGTTTCACCTTTAAACCATCAAACACTATATTCTAAATTATTTGCAGGATAACGTTTAAATTGTTTGTTTTCAATTTAATGATTTCATATCTCCGTCTGAAGGCCTCTTAAGTCACTCTTAAAGATGTGTTTAGTTATTGTTTTGATGGCAAAAGGGCACTTATTTGATAGATGGTGCAGCTCTAAAGGATTAATACATGTTTTAATTCACTGTAAAAACTGTCATTCCTCTTCTGTGCAGTCACATGCACTTTATCATGTCCACTGTCTCAGTTTTTTTTGCTACGCTGGTCATCAGTCTGTGTTCGATACTTTACGGCAAAATTGGGTAGGAATTTGTGAGCAGATGACAATTGTGAGCAAATTGGGGTAAAAAAAACATTACAAAGACGAAGCGGTCTGAATTAGAAACTGATGAGATACTTAATGACGTGTAGTAAATAAATGGGCAGTTTTCCATTGACTCCTCGTCACTTACAGAGACACTGACAGTCGACACTGACATTAACAATTACTCTAAATTACTTTTCCTCTTGATAAGAATATCTGCATGACCAGTTATGCAAAGGGCCCTGAATCATTGTGTTCAAATCAGCTAGTGTTGAATTAAATAACCACAAAACACGAGAAATTGTAACGATTTTCAGGCTGACATTGAAGCGCTAATTTAGTTAGCCGGTAAACATCGTCCCTTTGCCATCATGTTTACCATAAGCAATACTGAAGAGCAAAGACATGCTTAAGTGTAGCGTCATACAGAAATCACCTTCCTTTACGAGCGTCACAGGAAATGCTAAAATACAAGAAAATATTGTGCAGCTGACAGCATGCGTTTCACTTGAATGACCTGGTGGATGTTTAGCTTTTAAATGTTCGCCATATTTCAAACTAAAACTAAAATATGTGGTGAAATCCCAGCGTTTCACAGCTGAAGTAGGGTTGAGTCCACACAGTTCTCACGCCTCACTGTTGGTTTACATCTGTTTCTTCTTATTTTGAAGTATAGTTTCTACAGTAGGGTGAGTTGCCGTAATGTGGGACACTCCCTAATGTGGGACATTTAAATGGTTTAGGTCTTCCGCAAAAAATGAGTCATTAGGCGCGTTCACACCGCAGTACTTTTCCCACTTTAGTTCCGATATAGTTCCGAAATGTTGTGTTCACACCAAAAAAATCTGGAACTAATATTAGTTAGAGAACCTTTGTACCCCCTTTTCCGCCCCTGCTAGAGAGCAGGGACTTTCGTGGGAGAAAAAGGTTCCTCTGTCTGATTGGCTGGGCGGATTGCAAACCACGAACCGTAAAACTCCCAAAAGGTTTTGTGAAGCCGCCATTTTATTATCCTCGCATTAGCATTATTAGCATTAGCATTATCCCAGCGCACAAACGCAGAGAGACTAACTTATGGCAACAAAAAAAGAAAACATGGGAGCGGTGGAGATGAGGAGGTGTCGGCGTTCTGGTGATTTACTCGGAAGGCTTCAGTAGAAGCTGCTGGGACTCCCAGCAGCTTCTACTGAAGCCAGTCCCCAACTCCGGGGACTTACGGCCGGGGACTCAGGGTGGCAG